GGGCATGTGTATTTGGACTGTGGGTGCAGGAACCTCATCGTTTCCTCCAGCCTTGTCCGTCAGGGTGACCAGGGCTGGTGGGTGGGTGTTTTCAATCACAGCCGCAGCGCCAAGGCCTGGAACGCCACTGCTGTTTGCATCTTCGGGATGGAGGAGATGAAGGAGCAAGCCTGCGCATCCACGCACTTCGTCATGAATGGGAAGAGCTGTGTAAGTCTGGCCGTTGCTCTTCTAAGCTTTGGTCCCACACACTGTTGTTGACGCTGTTGTTGTGACTGGTGTCGCTGTGCATGACTCATAGGGTGTCCCTGACCTGAAGGCACGTGAAGTTTGTGGGGAACTTCAGAGCTGTGCGAGGCTTTGCCCATTAACCCTGGTGTGCCGTCAGCCCTAGTGATTGCTCCAGCCCTTTCCATTTCTCAAAGGCTGGTCCCCTACTAGATCCTTCCCACCTACATCTCAGGAAGGTGTCCTTCCCACCTGCATCTCCGGAAAGATATATCTGAGGGAACACTTGAGGGCATCCTGGGTCAGGCTTGAGTCTCTCTCAGTGAGCCCTTTTCTGCCAAGGATTAGTCATACTTCATCGTATTTTTTGTACAGCCTAGACAGAGCATCTCCTACCTTGTTCTGTGCATTCACATCTCATGTCATTCCAGCTACATTGGGAATGAAAAAAAGCCCATCAGATTGACTCCTGTGCACTGGGCTGTGTGCATTGTTATCCCCATTGCTCACTCGTTATTATGGTTGCTTGTTTGGTGGTGAGTGTTTCCCAAACCTCCCAGGATTGGTCTTCCTGGAGAGGGCTCAGAGCCACCTCACCCTACTCCACCAAAACCGTATGTGCAGCAGACAGCATCAGGCGATGCATCTTTGTTGTTGCAGTGGTTACATTTTCTCAGGCAGTGGTATCCCATGGAGATCGTCCTGGTCACCTACTTCTGTAACTCTCTTCAGCTCCTTCCTCCTTTTGAGGGGGCATATGAAGGGCAGGTTGGGCAAGGCTACCAGCTTTGCTGTGGCCTTGGTAGCTAGTGAAGAAATTAATTAAAAATTGAATCAAAGAAGCAAAAAATGTAATGCAGGTGTAGAAGGTGCTTTTGCAAGGCTCCTGTGTGCTTTTAAGTCACACTCAGAAGTCTTTTCAAGGCTGTGGCAAGAGGAACAACACTGAAAAGTGTCGGAGAGAACCGCAGGGAATCAAGAAAGGTATCATAAAGCAGCCCTGGCCTTTTGCAGTTCCCTCATCATCCAGGGACTTTGCAGCTTAACCCCTGAATCCTTGTGGTGTTATGATAGGTATTTGTTGGAAACTGCTTGGAAGAAGTGCGGTGGATTTACTGTAGCTCCTTGGCTTCCCAAGTGTAGCCCATAGCAAAGTGCCAAGATTCTTCCAAATACAAGCTACCAGAGAGCACGTGGGGTTCAAATCTGCTCATCTCCCAACTGAATTGCAACAATATTGCCAGTGTTAGAGGATGCAGTTATGAATGAGAACCCGGTGAAACCATGATGCTGAAGTAAATAGTGAAACTCTCGCAACAGAGCTGGAACCAGTCCTTTGATTTCCAGCACCAGTTTATAGCTTACTACGTGATTTCTGTGCTCTCACAAGGCAAACATGCTGAATTAATTTGAAGTCTCACCTTCATCCCAAAATACCTGTTTGCTAGTTGGATTTTTAATTCTAAATCACTCATGGGGTTTCTTTGTCAGATGCTTTTTGAGCCTGCAAAACAAAACAAAAGAAACCTCCCTAGGCAGCAGATCCTCCAAAGCCCCATGCTAGAAATTCCAGAAGAGTCTCATAGATTTCACAGAGTAACATAATGCTGGTAAGATGAGGCAGGTGTTTCTGTCTGACCAATGTTCCTCACCATCCCCCAACCCCATTGCCTCCCAGTGCCTGAATTTGAAGAATCAATGATCCACTTGTTTAAGGACTGGTCTGATACAGATCAGACTCCCATGACTGCAGAGTTACTTTTATATCCCAAAAGGCTCATCCCTTCTGGAAATGTAGATTATATTTGCATACAATACTGAAGAACTCCAAATTTAAAAATTATTAAAAGGATTGTTGGCTTAACATTATGTCCGTAACTATGGTGATGTTATTAATCATGAGATTTTGGCACAATAAATACAGTTTACCACTGACAGGAAAGTGGTATTTTAATATTTTGTGAGATAGCAGGACATCTGGGTGTTGTGTAGTAATATGACCTGTAACATTACATGGCTAATTAGGCTCTCTTTTTCAGCTAATTATATGTGCTTGTGGTGTGTAAACATAGAAATAAATGCATGTAGTTCAGCTTTAATATGTTTTTTTTTATACTACAGAAGGTTAGGCTAGGCTATTGCAGAGTAAGTTTGAAGATGACAGGCCCATATGCTGCTGCTTCTGGGTTGTTTTAGACCAGATCCTTCGACTGTCTCACACCAAATCATGGGAGTCCCTGCAAACGTGTAACACGCTCGTCTTGGACTCAGAAGCATGTGGGCTTCAGAACTGGCAAGAAGATGGTGCTCAGCACATCCGTGAGCGTGCAGTTTGTAGGAGAAGTGTGTGCAATAGCTTGCGGTGACTCTGGCCAGAAAGGAACGCCTCGTAGCTCAGAGCTGCCACAAGAACATCGTGGTACGGTGTGTAGGAAAGAGAGCAAGCACCAGTGCTTAATGTGTGCTTTCAAGTCCAGCCTTTCAAAGCCACCGTTGGTGCTGAGCACACGAATGTGTTGGAGCGTTATGCTTGCTTGGGGTGCAAGACCTGTACGGTGGTTGTGGTGGGTGGACCGCGCTAAATGGCTTTTGCGTTGCAGGTGCCACGTGCTGCAGGTCTTAGTCTTCTTTGCTGAGTACACTTGAATTCTGGAGCTCAGGCATCATGTGGTGAGGTACATGGATCATGGACATGGACTGTCAGTTTATGTAGGAGTTGAAAATACAATGTGTTTTCACTGCAGGAATACAGCTTGTAGTTAGAGTATGCATTAGGGAATGGTGGCAGTTTGTTTTCCTTCTGGTCTTCTCATTCTTCAGATTTTTGTAGTTATTCAGGTCACCTTTAGGCAAGACATCCTCTTACCCACCCGTGCTCATGGCAACTTGTATTTGCACTACGTTAGCACTATGCCTCTCAATAGCATGCTGCAAGAGGGACTTAGCGTGAGGTATTTGTGGTCCTGAATTCCCTGCTATGCTACTGCTGCATGTTCTACTCTAAGCTTATTCCTGTAAGGTCCCAAGCTTTCTGGCTCTAACCCAGTAAAGCACTTAAGGGCATACTTAACGTTAGACATATAAGTAGTTCCATCATCATCATGCCCATGCATTTAAAGATAAGCATGAACTTGAGTACTTCATTGGGTTGGAACCAAATTGCTCCACATCCTCACAGGCACTCATTGTGGGTGTGTAATCACTTTAGCCTCACACTGTCACTTAGGCTAAAGTTGACATTTGTTTTAAGATTTCCTGCTGGATTTGGGCCTTGTCATTAAAAATTAGTAATTTTCAAGATCGTTGCTTACCAACTTTATCAAAAAGCATGTGAGTGCTACAAGTTCTGTGGAATTGCTGGTTATGAGAACTCATTCTCATTTTATTTTGTGAAATAGTGTGCACAAAGCATTTTGTCCTAGTTGAGTGTGTTTATCCTGGGCATATATAATTCTGGATTCCTAGAGACATGATCCCTAACTAGCAAGAAGCAAGTGGTGTCTTATATGAAGTTACTTGGAAAACATTTTGCAGTTTTACATTCAGCATGTTTTCCTCTGATCAACATGCTTGTCAGTTTTAATTATATCTGCTTACATGCGCTGTCAAGGTGTTATGTGTTAATGGACTCACCAGCATGACCCGCATCTATGTAAGCCCATCTTTTTTCACAATTTCCTTAGTTAATAACTGTGAATTTGCCAAATCTCATTCTCCTTTTCCTTTCAGAAACCTGAATGAGCACTAACAAACATTTTTGGTGGATCACAATTACGAAATTGAAGCTTCTTATCCAGGATAGGAGGAATGCTGGAATTTGTCACAAACTTGCTCCAGTAGCAAGTGAGCTTTAAGAAAGCCTTTCCTTCTGCTGTGCTGTGGCTGAACGGGAGCTACTAGACTCTCAGATCATTCCCAGAGATCCCAAGATCTTGTGGATCACAGCTAAGCGGATGAGTTGAAGAAGTGCTCAAATCAGAGATCATCAGCAGAAGAGAGCTATAGGGTGTTATCTAACCACAATGACAAATCTAGAAATTAGGTTTCCGTTTAAAAAAAAAATTTGCATAGGAAGAAAAAGATCCTACAATTTTTCAACTAGAAAATCCAAAGAAGTGTTGGGTATATACCTGTAAGACAGAGAGAAGTTGTTGTAGTTTATATTAAGGTGTTTATTTTATGGTGTGCAAAAGCCAGGTAGGTGTGGTAGCTCCTGAACACTGAGGTATCTTGGTTGGGTCTTCATCTGGTGTTTAATGCCAGTAAAGACATATAACAGTCTGTTCTGTGATTTTTTTTTATTTTTCAGTGGGTGATAAATAAGTGGGTTGGTATACGCCCGTTAATTTGTCGAGCATAGTTTGGAATCCTAAGACAAATCTTAGCTAATATAAGCTCTACTGAAATGAGATTTTGAAGTCAACAGAGTCACATCAGTTTAATCACAGCCATTAATTTGTACAAGTGACATTTAAATTTGTGTGGTATCTAATTCCAAAATGATTCATAGGTCGTTTATTTAAGGAAAGAATTACAGACTTCTAGATATCATTTGGTATCAAAATTGATCCTGTAATTAATTTTCTAGTAGTAAAGTCATCTCCTGAGTATTACCAGACTGCTAGTATTTCATCTGATGTTTGACAGATTTCTAGAGTTAACATTTCGACAGTTAATTTTTCTGTCCGGTCACAATGAATTTTCAGTTCATCGCTGTTTGGTGTGAGAAGTAAGCGATAGAAGACTCATAAACTCTCAGGTTGTCAGTAAGAAGAGTTGGTTTTAGTCATCTGGCTTCACCAGGTGTTCTTAACAGAAACTTTTGAGAGTCTGGAGGGTCTTGAACAGAGGATTCACTTCCCTGGGATCACAGAGTTGTCCAGGTTGGAAGGAACCTCAGAGGAAGCCTCTAGTGCAGCCCCCTGCTCACAGCAGGGTCACCTCTGAGATCAGGCAAGGTTGCTCTGGGCTTTGTCCTGTCA